CTGGACCTCGGCCTACAACGGAACCGCTCCAATCGGGCCAAAACCGTTCGCTTCCCGTAACGCCTGAACTGGACCTCGGCCTACAACGGAACCGCTCCAATCGGGCCAAAACCGTTCACTTCCCGTAACGCCTGAACTGGACCTCAGTCTCCAACGGAACCGCTCCAATCGGGCCAAAACCGTTCGCTTCCCGTAACGCCTGAACTGGACCTCGGCCTACAACGGAACCGCTCCAAACGGGCCAAAACCGTTCGCTTCCCGTTACGCCTGAACTGGACCTCGGCCTCCAACGGAACCGCTCCAGTCGGGCCAAAACCGTTCACTGGATCTGATCTCCCGCCTCCATGGGAAGTTCTGGAGATGTTGCGGTGTGAGCAGCTGGCCCAGCAGGTCCACAGCAGTTGGAAATGAGCCTCAACGTTCTTGCTTCTCTGGTAGAACCAGAACCTGCTCTAAGGTGAAGTTCTGTTCACATCTTTGATCTGCCATCAATAAATCGTTAAAAGGTGAAACATCTCCTTTGATCTTTTCCCTGAAACCTTTAATGTAAACATCAAAGAACCCTGGACACACGCATCATAACAAAACTTTTATTTCACTGTAACAACATGGTGACCCAGGTTCCTCTGAAGTTCTTCAGAACCTTCTGGTTCTGCTGCCTCTAACCTAAACAAAGCAGCAGGTCCAGTTCTGACTGATCCAGGTTCTCCAGGGTTCCTCAGGAACCTCCTGGTTCTCCTACTTGTTGTTGAGCCAGCTGAAGGAGAAGACGTGTTTGGGTCCATCTGGGTCCGACTCGCTCTGCTGATCCGTCTGGAGCAGAGAGGTTGAAGCTGGTTACCATGGAGACTGACAGCAGGTGGTTGGTAGGTCACAGGTTGACCTGCTTCATACCTGAGGGGCGGAGCTGGTGGTGGGGGGAGGCAGTGGGGGTGGGGCTTGAGTGGGTGGTGGCGGTGGGAGGGGATCTGGGGCTCTCTGAAGAGGCGTGGCTAGGGGCGGCACCGGCGTGGCTTGTGGCTGTGACTCGGAGGATCCCGGTCTGGGTCCTCCTGCCTCCACCTCCTCCTCGCTGTCATCGTCGTCTTCATCGCCTGGAAGCACAGGAGCAGTGAGAGCAGAGAACCGGTCCTGCTCTCTCATTGGTCGCTAAGGACGCTCACCTTTGATGAAGTCGACCTCGGCCAGCGCCCGCCGCTGCAGATCAAAGTTCACGGTGAAGTGGCCCATGTCCTCGTAGCCGGGCTGGACCTGGTCCAGGTGAGACGTGTCTGTGGACGTGAGCAGTCTGGGAGGGAACCAGATGGTCAGAGGATGGAAGGAAGAGCAGAAGGAGAAGAAAGGAGCAGCAGGACTCACTTCTGCAGCAGAGGCTTGGCTGTCTGAGGAGAAGGTGGGAAGAGGAACCTGAGCACCAGCTCTGCTCTGCTCTGGAGGGTTTAAAGCTGCAGAGGCTCACCTGAAGGAAAACGGCCATCTCTGGCTCCTCCATGGTCTGGATGGCCGTCTCCACCAGCTTGGCAGTTCCCTCCAGATGTTCTCCATACTTCCTGTTCAGGCTGCGGATGTAGTCCAGCTTCTCCTCCTGCTCGCTGTTGATCCTGACCGTCATCTCGGCTTTCTTCTCCTCCAGCAGAGTGAACAGGTGGTCGAATGTCTCACACACCTTTGACTTCTGCCGCCGGCCGTTCTCCTGCAAACACCAAGCAGGCGGTGAGGAAGAGGAGGCCGAGGGCGTCCGCTCTGGGATGAAGGAGGAGGACTCACGTCCACGGCTCTGCAGGTCTCCTCCAGCTGGCTGATGATGGCCTGGATCCTCTCGTTGTTCCCCACCAGCATGGAGATGCAGTCCGTCAGCTCAGCCTGCATGGCAAGCACACACAGAGCGCATGGGTTCATCTCTTTGTTCATCCATGTCTCTGACCTTTCACCCTCATCTTCTGCCCTGTGATCAGGACTGTTTTATATTTATTCATTATTTAACATTTTCAACAAGGAGTCAGTTTCTCCACAGCTGCAGTTAAATCCATATTTTTATACAATGGAGGAGTTACAGCGTTTCCTAATGATGCTGCCCCCCTGTGGTGTAAACAAAGAACTACAGAATCTTCTGCTAATTGTTTCCCCTTTTCTCACCTGTCCTGAAGTTTCCGTCGGTGTCTGAGTTGAGCTGGACAACATTAAATTCTGAGAATCCACTAAACCTGAATCTAACGCTTCCATGGTGGCTAGGTTGGATGCTTTGGACGTCACATCCACAGAACAGGGCGGGAACTTCAGACCAGAAGTACATTCAGGAAAACAGGCTCCGGGCTGATGGACACGTCCGTGCTGAGCTGCTGAGGCGTCAGTCTGACGGGACGGGACTCAGATTCCAGCTTTCACAAACCCACGATGCAGTGATAGAGTTGATTCCTTCCTGCTATCATCTTAACCTCCATCACCATGCAGGGGAACAAAACACCTGGCCAGGTCAGCTGGGCCAACAATGAGCCCTAACGACTGCCTTTTCAGAGGAATGGGCCATTATCGGGTATTACAGGCCAATAAGGAGCTCAATGACTCCCATTATTAAAGGGGAACGCCGTGTTCTTACATTGGTCCCTTGATTTTCCGTTATTCCATCATGTTCTACTCTCCCATATGAGTTTAGTGTCATTTGGAGCCGTTCTGAAGATATTCCGTTAGGTTATATCCAGTAACGTCTTCCTATGGGCAA